TACTACATGAGTTGACTGTTTGAAGCACATTCCCTATGGTGTGATGGCTTGCTCAGCCTTGATAGGAGGAGGGAATTGGTCCTGCCTCAATTGAATGTGCCAGGCTTTGTTGACTCCCCATGGGAGTCTTTACCCTTTCTGAGAAGTGAATGGGAGGGGGCTGGGGAAAGGTGGGAGGGAGGGGGAAAAAGAGGGAGGAGGAACTGTGGTAGGTATGTAAAATAAATAATAAAATAAAATGTTTAAAAAGCTCAGAGTTTCAGTATTAGAACCATCAGGGACTCAGATGGGAGTTCAGCCTGATCCTTTTACTAAGAAAGGAACTCAGACACAACATGGAGGAGAGATTTACCTAAGTGAATAGGAGAGTTGAATATAAAAATACAAATTTGAGCTTTTAGCTCAGGTCTCTTCATTACAGCACTGAGTTAGATTCGGAACCTTTTCTGAGAGCAAGCTTTACTGAGAAGTAGTGAGGATATACACAGTTAACATGTACAGACTCAAGGGTCCAGAGCTTCATAAGCAACTGCAAAACAAACTTTAACTATTGTGAATGGTGCCACAATGAATCTGGAGTCACAGGTATTTCTCTTGCATGTTGACTTGTACTCTTTCAGCTATGTACCCATGAGTGGTAAAGCTGTATCAGGTGTCAGCTTTATTTTTCTCTGCCAAAAGTGATCATAGAGCCCATAAAATCTGAAAGCTCTCTTCCTGGTTTGATGACACCTAATCAGAATTATAAAAACTCTTCCCTTCAAAACGTCTAGATTTTGAGAGTTTTGACATGCCCGAAGAGTACTAAAGATGGCACTACTTCCCATTAATGTAATTCCTTTCCATGAAAGAACAGTACTTGAAAAGCTCTTATATCTGGGCGTGTGTGTGCCTACATTGTGTCCACTATAAGAATCTGCTTTATTGGAAGGGGAGAAGGGGAGGGTTGAGGAGAACTTGAGGGTATGGGATAGTCGAGATTAAGAACAGATATGAGAGCAAGGAAAGAGATATCTCGATTGAGGGAGCCATTATGGAGTTAGCAAGAAACCTGGCTCTAGAAAAATGCCGAAGAACCCACAGGGATGAACCCAGCTGAGACCCTAAGCAATAGAGGAGAGGGTGTCTGAACTGACCTTACCCTGTAGTCAGACTGATGATTTTCTTAAATATAGTCATAGAACCTTCGTCCAACAACAGATGGAAACAGAGGCAGAGAATCACATCGGAGCTCTGGACTGAGGTCCCAATGTCCAGTTGAAGAGTGCAAGGAGTGAGGATATGAGCAAGGAAGTCAAGACCATGAGGGGTTCACCCACTGAGACAGTTTTCCTGAACTAATGGGAGCTCACCAACTCCAACTCAGCTTGGATTGAATGAGCATGGAATCAAACTAGTCCCTCTGAATGTGGCTGACAGGGCAGACTGGGGGGCCACTGACAGTGACACTGGGATTTGGCTCTGCTGCATGTACTGGCTTTTTGGAATCCTATTCTCTTTGGATGTATGCCTTGCTCAACCTAGATGTGGTAAAGAGGGCCTTGGACTTGCCACAGGCCAGGGTGCCTTGTCCTCTCTTAGGATTGGAGGGGGAGGGTGGGAGGGTGTGTGGAGAGAGTGGGAGAAAGGGAGGGAATGAGAATTTGGATTGGTATGTTTTCAAATTAATAAAATAATAAAAAATCTATTTTATTGCATTATCCTTCAGCCATTCAAACAAATCTAGATGTTGAATTGCCTTTTTATTACAGTATAGCTATTTAAATTTCTTAATTCTTTACAGTACATGTCTATACATATATTAATAATTATTTGTTTGATGGAAAGAATTGACAAAAAGGTGCACTGTTGAGGTTCTAACAAGGGAGGCTAAGCCTCAACAGACGAGTTGCTATTTACTGCGACAGTCATTTATCTCTATCACAATCTCATTGGCACAATTTTTACAGTAGTTTGAATTAGTCACATGCCCTCCCTAAGATGCAACCCAGACAGAAAGACTAAAACCAATGGGAGACAAGGAAGGGGGATATCAGTCACAAACCACTGTCGCTGCATTAACAGGGTTTCATGGATCATTCTGTTACCAGGCAGAAGCAGGATTTCTGTAGGTGAAATATTGGAGAGTATAAAAGCCACAGGAAGAACAAGCAATTGCATGACTTGAGCAATCATACTGATACAAGGTGTAGGGGCTTAGGAGCAGAAAATAGAAGAGACACAAAACAAATAGCTTTTCTCTCCTTGGTTTTTGAGTACTTGGTCTAGGTCATTAAAAGAAAGTTTCCACTTTAAATGCTGCCTAGATTTGATCTTGCTGGTCGCTATGACAGAAAGACAGTGTCGGCTATCATTTCCTGGGAACGATGCTCAATGAGGACTTGTAGTGATGGCAGTTTTCCACCAGTGTAAGAGGAAGGAGTACAGACATGGGAAATTTCCTGTGCTACCCCCCTAGAGCTACCAGCCCCTCTAGCTGTTAATCTTGCAGGAGCCTCACTCTCCTCTTAGCTCTTAGGTAGCTGTTTTGCCTTAACTTTTACCAGGATTGACAATAAATGGCCTTAGACAGCTCATCAATCCCTAGAAATCAGAATAAAAATACAGACTGGAGACTGGAGACCTGGCTAAATGTTTAAGAGCACTTGGTGCTCTTCCAGGGAATCCAAGTTCAGTTCCCAATACCCACACAAAGCAGCTCACAACTATCTGGATGCCCACGTCCAAGAGATCTGGTGATGTCCCCTGGCCTCTGTGGGGATCTCCCCACATGTGGACAAATACACATACCATGAGCACATAAACCGATACATAAACAATTTTGTTTTTAAAATGTCAGCTTGGCTTGAAACCACAAACATAGTCAGATACTCTTTTGTGTCCTCCTGCGGGGACTGGCTACAGAATGTCACGTGGAGACTAAAATCTAAGTATATTCAAGTACTTAGCATTTCTGTTTGACCCACACACATCTTACAGCGTATTTAAAGTCGTGTTTGAATTGCTTGTACTTCCAAACACAGTATGAATGCTACATAATCTTCATACTGTATTGTTACAAAATAGTAATAAAAATGTCTGTACATTTTTAGTACAGATGGAATTATTTTCCAATTACATTTTCTATATCAGGAGTTAAATATATGGGTGCAGAACCATGGATAGAAGGCCGAGTCAGAAAAGGCAAAGAAGGAGGGAGTAAACATTTTAAAGTGATGACTGAAAAGTTTCCCAGGAATTTTTCAGTTGCCAGTTCTGCATCAGTTTCCAGACAGCCGAAAAAATAAATACCTAGCCGGGCGGTGGTGGCACACGCCTTTAATCCCAGCACTCAGGAGGCAGAGGTAGGCAGATCTCTGTGAGTTACAGGCCAGCCTGGACTACAAGAGTTAGTTCCAGGACAGCCTCTAAAGCTACAGAGAAACCCTGTCCTGAAAAACCAAATAAATAAATAAATACCTGAAGTAACTTGATAGCAAGTATATTTTATTAGGTTCTTTCTTAAAGGATGGAAAGAAGGAACAGATACTTTTGAGTGCCCTAAAAACAGAAAATGGAATATTTCCATAGCTGACCAAAGTATAGTAACTTAACAATCCAAATATGTTTTATTACATTTAATAAACATTTTAATGCAAGTTGTAATTACAGCTGAAGGATTACCTGTATCTGTAAATGGAAAATTAATTCAATTTTACATTTAGGTATGCATTACAATTTATGGGTTACATTATTCACATTACCATTTTTATGACAAGCAAGTTATATTAAATATAAAATGGAAATTAACCAAAATAAAGTGGAATACAAGAGTAAGCAACATTAAACATGGAAATTATACAAATTATTTTAAAATGTATTTGTGTCAATTCAGTTAACATCCAATTCAATGATTTAATACTATAATCCTTAAATTCCAGAATTTTAACAGGTAAGAGTACAGAAAGTTCACATATAGTTCAATATTACAAAAAAAGAGAAAGAATACTGAAGGAAACAAACAAGTTTTCATACTTTGATTACTAATTTGACCTTACAACATTAACCTAACAACTGAACTTCATCTAACCTAACCTACTTTTGTCTAACTAAGCCTACAGCTGTATGTATTCCAACTATTACCTTTCTTTTCAAGACAATATAATACATAGTTATTTTTAGGACTCTAAATCATGAATTCATTTTTACTATTGTTCTATTGTTTTTGAAACTTTTTTTTCCAGCTAGTTCCTAACACAAGCCCAAACTCAGCATTCTTTAAAGTTGCATTGTGTTCATTGACTTTTACTTTAATTTTTTACTTAATTTTTTAAGCCTCCATATCACCAGACAGGAAAACAAGTTAAGGAATTTCAAGAATTTGCTCAGTTTTAGAAGTTTTAGCATTTTTGATTTAATTTAACCACTCTCTGACACAAGTTCAGCAATATACAAGGTAAGTTATTCCTGAAAGTTTACTTTAAATTTCTGGACATTTTTTAATTGCCACATTTTCTAGATAGTTTTTAAACAGACTAATGCATATTTAAGGCAAAGCTACTATGCATCAGAAAAATTAAAACTGTAAAGATTTTGTTTCTGTTATTTGGGTTACAAAAAAGGAGTCTTTTCCTTTCATAAATTTTAAATGTTTTATTCATTCCCTCTCCAACTTGGCACCAATTTAGCAGTCTCCTAGATGTTTGATCTAAGGCATCATCTGATAATTATAGCCCTTGTGAAATGCTATAGATACACAAAGCTTTATGCCCTAAATTTGGGGGTGCTTGTTTGTTTTATAAAGGTTTGTTTTGTAGTTTTACAAAGTTATGCATTTTTCTCTAATTCAATCCTGTCCCAGAAAAAAATTTCAGATTTCTAATTAAATTATACTAAAAAAAATGTTTATTAAAAGAGCATAGTAGCAATCTATTTTTAAATTTATAGCACTTCAAAAACAGGAAAACAATAATGTGTTAGGAACTATTTTTGTTATTTGTTATTTTTTTTCCTTTTCTAGTTTTGTGGATTTTTTTGATAATTTTTCTTTTTTTGTTGTTTCTTTCATTATATACATTTTTTTTTCAATACGCTCCCGACCTGAGCACAAATTCAGCAGCACCTCGGCTACAACGTGCTCCAAAATTGAACAGAAAAGAGTGAGTATATATTTGAAAGCTAAAGCTATCTAACCTCTACCTAAAAAACTATTAATACAAGCTATAAGATATATTGTTGCTATTATTTTGTTCACTTCTGTTTTCAACTTGCTCCCGACCTGGACACAATTACTGTATAGCTCTGTGGCTATACTGTGTCCCAACACTTAATATGAAGAATAAATATTTTCTACAAGTGAGTTCCCACCCCCATAAAGAATAAAAGGAAGTTTTAAGAAATAATGTAGTGTTGCTTAAATTTTTTTTAATTGACACTGCAATTTCATGATTTTTCCATTTTGCACCTGCCAGGCACATATGTAGCAGCTTTCAAGATTAACAATTTAATAGGAAAATTCTAGTATTGTTTTACAAAGAAAGTTTTAAAAGCTGACACTAACTATGATTATATATGTGTAAATGTTGTCTGTTTTCCAAATTTTCCTATCCATATTCATCCAAATACTTTACATCTTTTCAAAATCTAGATAAAATCTGCCAATCTTTTTAAATTCAACACATTCCTTTCTTAACATGTTTTATTAATATTAGGTAAAAATAAGTTCTTTTAGTAAAATAAATTCCATGATAATTCAAAAAAGGAAAAAATACCAGTATATATCAGTAGTAACACAAACATTTTTAAATAATCCCTGAATTTGTTCTATATTTATAGGCCCAACCCAATTACCAAAACCACTGGAATGTTTTTTTTTTTTTTTTAAGTTTTAAAGTAACCCCCACATCACTAAAAGTCAAAACCACTGGTCGTTTATGTAATAAAAACTTCAACTCAGCAAGAGTCTGATAATCTGTTTTGGTTGCTGTAATTAGACTTGACCTATAATTACTGAACAAAACAGAATATGTACAATAAGTCTTCAAACAAATGCATTTGACTGTATTTGGTACATTAATCTATTTTCGGCATCATTAGCTTCAATTTTTTTCTCTTTCTTATAGCATAGGAAAACTCATAGGAGACACCGTAACTATACATGAAAGATAATTCTCGTACCTAGAAGGTGGATTCCAGCATTAATTCACCACCATTATTTGTTGTTTGATCACTAACTTCCTCTTGAATAGCTGGAAGGGAAGGCTTTGGGGTCAGAGGTGTCTCAGTCTTAAACAGGGATTCCATCCTTATATGTGTATTGATATAGAAGGATTTCTGAAAGGATTCAAGAGTGAAGTAATAGATAAAAGGATCAAAACAACAATTCAGAGTTGCAAGGCACAAGGTAATTGGGTACATGATCTTTGCAAACCTTTCCAATAAGCAATTAGTAATGGCTTGGGAGCGTACCAAGGCATATAAAAAGAGAACAGAGTTGTACGGTACAAAGCATACCACAAAAACTGCCATATGCACTGTGATCATCTTCAACACTTTTTTCTTATTGGTTCCAATTTGAGACAATGTTGCAGGCTTGCGGAGGGTTCTCAGCACCACAGAAGAGCAAGAAACATTCAATATCAGAGGAATGATGAACCCGACAACTTCAATGAATATGGTGATCTTGGACAGGTATGTCTTCCAGACACGTTTGGAGAAGCCCTCAAAGCAAGTGGTGGTTGCATTGTTGACATTAGTGGTGGAAAACAAAGAAGCTGAAATACCACCACTGAGAACTAGGATCCAGACTCCAGCACACACAATGGCAGAATTCCTCCTGGTCCTGATGGTACGGGATCGGAAGGGATAGACAATGGCTAGGAAACGATCCACACTTATGCAGGTAAGGAAAAGCATGCTCCCGTAGATGTTGGTGAGGAAAGCGGTCCCTGAGATCTTACAAAGGGTGTCACCAAAAGGCCAGTGGCGATTAAAGTTGTAAAATATTTTGAAAGGTAGGGTACAGACAAAAAGCAAATCAGATAGGGCCAGATTGGTGATGAAAATAGCAGTCTCACTCCTCATTTTCATGCGGAAGCAGAATACAAACAGGGAGGCACTGTTGGTTATTAGACCGAGGATGAACACAACACTATAGACAGCACCATTCAGATTATACTTGAAGGAGTCATCAACAATGCAAGTATTATTGGCAGTTGCATTGCCCAACCTGGGTCTGAGACTTGAATTTAAATCTTGGAATTGGAAGTCAATAAATCTTCTGTCACCCATGGATTTTTTTTCCAGAAAGCCTGCTTGCTGCAGGTGTTCACCACTCTGAGATTAAGGACCAGTAGAGAATATTTTCTTCCTATAGGAGACAAGATAGAATGAGTCACCAAATCTGCTTTCCCTCCAAGACTTCTGTGGTATAAAAATACATTCTGCTCATCCACGCAAAGAAATACACACATTCTATTAGATTTGACAAGTGCTTTTTGATTATATACCACAGGTAAATAGTACTACAAAGGACATACACATTGCAGAAATGGGAGAGATCACAACATAATAAGCAGTTTATTGCAATGAACATGAATAAGGTATATATTACTCAAGGGAAAAATCAAAGAATCTCTGATGGCTAAGATGCTGCTAATGTGAAATTTGGAGGCCCATTTTCAACTTTCCAAATACATGTTTTATTTAATTCTTATAAGAACACTAACTGGGTCATAGTGATTCAAGTCTTTAATCCCAGCACTTGGGAGGCAGAGCCAGGCAGATCTCTGTGAGACAGAGGCCAACCTGGTCTACAAGAGCAAGTTACAGGACAGCTCCGGCTGTGACACAGAGAAACCCTATCTCAAAAAACTAAACAAAATAATATAAATAATAAATAATAAAGAACACCATAAGGTAAACACAGAATCATTGTTTTACAGAATTAGAACCTGAGTCTTAAGGCACAGTTACAGAATGTCAGAATTGGAAGAGAATGTGAATAGTGTATTCAAAACCAGAAATCACATCTTTGATTCTTAAAACATAAATTTTTCAAGTTACTGAAATTTGTACTGTTGACTCTCCAATATTACTAAAATAACTTGTCTGATTATTAACTCTACTGTATAAGACAGTAAGTAGATATGAGACCTCTAGTGCATGTTCTAAGTTATCCACAAACTAAAAAAAGTAATGTGATGTGGGATTCCTCTCTGCATGCTGAGAATACCATTAGTTAATGAAAAAACTGTCTTGGGACTGCACAGAGCAGAATAGAGGTAGGTGGAAAAAACAAAGCTGAATACTGGGAGAAAGGAGGTAGAGTCAGAGAGAAGCCATGTAGCCCCCACCGGAGACAGATGCTGGACAGAACTTCACAGATTAAGAGAGATGGGTTAGTTTAGGATATGAGTTAGCCAGAAATACGCTTAAGCTATTGGCCAAACAGTATTGCAAATGATATGTTTTTGGTGTGGCTACTTCAGGGCTGAGCATCTGGGAACCAACAAGCGGCCTTCTCCTACAGCAATGTATTGGTTCACCTTTTTAATTTTAAAACATAAGCTCTCTCAGTTCGTCAAATCTGTTCACTGCACTACCACAACAGAAAATGGATTCCATGATTTTTTTTCATGAGGAAAAAGAATATTAGTTTGATTGGTTAGGCATAGGAATTAGGGAGAAATTGGGGGAGGGAAAAGAATATGGTCAAAATATATGAAAAAATTCTAGATTAAAATAAATAAGCTTTTCCCACTGTGTCACATCACATGGCTATTCTGAAGAAGAGATTAAAATATCAAGTTCATCACTTCCTTCCTGCACTACACAATTCTCTTTCAATCTATACCCCAAGCCTAGTATATATGTTCCTTTTCCTTGCCCACTGCATTTCCTGTCAGCTATATCCATGCATTCATCTGCCAAAATGGCCCTGGTCAGCATCAGCTTTTCTGATCAAACACAAATAAGAGTAGGGTGTGGTGGCTTGTGCCTATAACCCAGGAGAGACCCAGGCAGGAGAATTCCTGTAAGTTTGAGATCAACCTGGGCTTCAGCGTGAGTTCTACGTCAGATTAGACTATGTATTTTGACTCTGTCTTAACATCAGACCCTGTCTCAAAAATTCCAAATAGAATGTGAAAGTTGAGAACAACAGAACAGCCACCCCATACCTCATTGTACACAATCTGATCTGACCATTTAGAGGCTTTCCTTTCAATACTGTTTTTCTACATGGTAGTCATTAACTCAATTGTCTGTTTAAATATTTAGGCCACCAAGGCCTGAAGATACATACAGAAATTTTACCAGCTTTTTCCTAGGTTAATAGTTACCATTGGCTAGTCTGTGTTTCAAATGTGTCCCTTAAAACACTGTGGATAAGTAAATGGTGAATGATTCTTTTGAGTGAGGATATGAAAAGAAAGTGGCCTTTGTGCCCTGACATAGCCAGTAATGGATTTTCACATGATTATGTTGTAAAATACAAACGGCTGTTTTCTGAAGTTATTTCCTTTTCACTCTTCCCTTCCAGACACCAAGGAAAGAAGTCAACAGACCTCTGTATGTCGTAAGGGGAGGAAATAGAGGAGAAATTTGCTAGAAATACACAGGGCTGAAGTCACTTCAATGAGTGTCTGACTTGAGTAAAACCTACTTAACTTGAGAAAAGTCACCTACTACAGAACTCAAAGAGCATGATGACTTCCATAATACGGAGGGAAAACATGCACGGTTTTCATTCTAACAGTGGACCAGTTGCAATGGGAATGTGCTATCCTGAATTGTCATTCAATGAGTCTTAATAAAATCATTCACCGAAAATCATATTCCTTCTTGGCCATTTCATCACACAGGTCTAGTTCAACTTTTTTTTTCCCCAAAGCAACCTTGTTGTACATAAAAAAGCAAAGTATAGTGGGACCTTGACCAAGGAAAGTTCAACAAGAACACTCCAGAGAAAAAATAAATGAAAATAGAAAAGTGAGTCAAAGAGAAATAATATGTCAGAGAAAAATAAGCAGAAGTATGGCAAAGAAAGGGAAGAGGAGGTAAGGAAAATAGGACTTTTCTGGGCCATCTACTTTGTATTAAGAATCTTGAGAGGGCTTCCTATAATCCCATCCTCACTTCTTTATCTTACCTCTTCCAGGTTTCCCAGATGGAAGAATAATTTTTAATGTCTAAATTTCTTAATATCGAGCTACTCCACTTACTATTTTAACACCATTATTAACTATTATTCCAAAAGACTCACTTACAATAAGAACACTATTTACATTTTAGAAAGTACATTGCTGGAAGAAACCAAGAAGACAGTGAAAGAAAACATTTCTTATTAATGTAGTCATACATGTTTAAGAATTTATGGGGCTATAAAAAAACAGCATTAAAATCAGACTTCATTCACAATCTCTTGCATCTAGCTTATACAATAAGCACTGCCAGTAAGTTGATTTTGTTCGATAAAGGATTTCACATCAGAAGGTTTCTCACCTCTGTTTTGCTTCCTGGTTATATCTATGCCCAGAATGCTGCTCTCTCTCTGGCTCTGTCATATTTTGTACTTTCCTTGATAAGTATCCCAAATCGCCTTTACATTCAGTTTTTTTCATGAATATAATTATTTTATTTTATTTCTTAATTCACATTATTCTAGTTTTAAAAAACATAAATAATAACTGCATTGTATTTATGGAGTGCAATGTGATCTATAAATGAATCAATGCCTATTTGTATTGCTGTGATAAAGGGTGGCTAAATAAAGTTGATTTATACATCCGTCACCACACTTTAGTTTTATATACCTCAGAACATATGCACTATACCTACAACAGGCAGTCTGTAAATGTGTGACACTTCTACTCTGTTGCTTTGGGCAATCAAAACCTGTGGGATAGAAAGGACCACAGACAAGAAAGCAGTACAGTCTTACTCCTAAAGAGAAGGCATGGGAAAACGGTCACTGTGGCCCTATTCATAGCTCTCCCTTGCTTGAACACACACCACCTTTGCTGCCTAGCAGGGAGGGTGTGGCACTGGAGTCGGAGAGATCTATTTCTGACTCAGACACCAGTTCACTCTGTAACTTGGCTATACTGTTTTCATTTTTCTGTACAAACATTACCAATGAGCCTCACAGCTGAAGCTGGGAAGATTCAACAGTGCTGTGAGTAGTTGGATGAACTCGCCAATACCCAGCTCAATCATAAAACAACATTATAGAAGTCTGCTCCTCCCAACTATGACTAGAAATCTCTATCTGCATTCCTTGGTATCTTTAACTTTGTATATCCTTCTGCTAATTCCTTGTACCTCAAAAAGTTCCTCCTTGGATTTGGAACCTTAAGTGTACAATTTACTCATAACAGAGAATTGGTGGAAAGTGCCCCAATGACTACCCCATACAGAGAGAGCTCCAGTTTTTAAAAATGAGAACAGTATTTGCCTCTTGGGTGACTGTAAAGAATAAAAATTATTCAAGAAACAAAACTTGTTTCCTTTTATTCTAAATGTCTAACATACGGTCCACTAAATGTCTAGGTCAACACTTGAGTGCTCCAGGAGATTAACAAAGTCATAGCCTACATGGTTAATGATAGCTTCTCCTATGAGCAGCATCAAATTATTGCCTTTTGAAGATGTTTATAACCAATTATTCCAACATAATGGACTAAAAGAAGGATTAGTGTTGGATAAACATATTTTCTTTGATAGTGGTCAGAAAGGAGGTCAGCTGGAGGTTGATTAAGAAGAAATTGAAAGGGGAGGCAAGATGACTTAGCAGATAAAGGCACTTACCATCAAACTTGACAACCTGAGTTCAATCACATATGATAGATAGAAGGAACTGACCCTTGCAAGCAGGTCCTGACTTCCACATTCACCATGGTGTTCAGATGCACACACATGTGCGCACACATGTTCGTGCACTCACATGTACTCACACACACACACACACAATAAAATGTAAAAATTTTAAAAAATCTGAGAGTAAGGGTCAACAGGAAGAAGGACAAGAGAAGGCAGTGGGGAGGTGAATATGTTCAAAATCTGTTTTATGTATATATATATATATATATTTATATATATATACACACACACAAATGTCAAAGAGAAATTATTTTGTATGATTAGTAGACAATGAAATATTTTATAAAATTAAAAAAACAAAAGTATGTCTATCAATGATTTTTTTTTTAACTTTTTGACTACCACAGCTCATTCAGAGAATTCATTCATAATAATGTCTACATTTTTCTTCTTTTTAAACTTTTTTGATGGATAATAGTAATAGCATATACCATGTTTGGAATTTGGAGGACCACTAGAGGAAGGAAAAATCACCTTTTTGGCCCCTTTAAGGATTATCAAATACTTAGATCACTTTATAACCTGATAAAATTTCAGAAGTTCAGTTGAAACAAAATTATAAATTCTGACATAAATCCAATACCCTAGAAAACCTAGGCATACTTTATTCCCAACCAACCATAGTTCAGAGTCCAGTAAAATAAAACCCCGAAGGCAAAGTATACTGCAATTGTCTTACTTTGTTCCATTTTCAATGAGGTTAGTTCAAGTCAGAGGGTTCATGATCTCTAAAGCAGTTGTTTTTTCTGCTCTAGTCAAAGTTTATGAAGTCTGGTAAGATGAAGCCTAGTGTGTCCTTAACCATAACTTAAAACTACACAAATATAAAAGCAGAATTCAAGAGTATTCTGCAGGTGCAATAAAACTAAAGGCAGACTTTTGTTCAAGTGGTTATTAACAGATAAAGTTCTTTATGGCAACAGTGTAGGCCAAGTCATAGGCATAGGTCACACTTGGTTCCAACTGATGTTCCTGTGCATAATTGATGCTGATGCATATCAACCATACATTTTCAGTACAATTAATATCTCTTTTTAAATGGTTTGTCTATACAGAATCTGATTTTCACTAAGATTATTGAGGTTATTCTGTAACATTGGCCAACCATTCTGAGGACATCAGGAAATGACAAACTCTGATCCAATCTGATCAGACCCACCTTAAGAGACTAAATTAATCATATTTTTATTTTTCATCAATAGAACTAATACTTTCTATTAGCTCCTCATCTGATGTCACAGGCCAACACTTAGGAAATGTTGTGGTCTAGTTCTCAATATGATGGGACCAATGATTGCATCAGAACTACTAAAGCAGAATTTTCCCTTGTACCTAGTTATAGAGTAAGAAAACTACAGGGAAATTGCTCAATCTGTTATGATGAAATTGTCTAGAGTCTTAAGAATTGACATCTCATCTCAGTAGAAGCCCTGGACATTTATAGAATACTAATGGATTTTCCTAAAAGATCTCATTTTTAAATTCTTCAAGAATCATAAATGCCACCAGGACTCAGATTTTTATCCCTGCATCCAAACACAAATCATTAATTAGTTTTAACACCAATTCATTTGCTATGCTTGGATACTAGTACTGATCATATAAACAAAAACATGCCTTGCATCTATCTGTCTGTCTATATCTATCTTTCTATCTATCATCTATCTATAATCTATCAATCTTTCTACCTATCTATCATCTATGTTAATGACAGAGGGATTGAATGAAAGAATATCTATCTATATCTATCTTCTATCAATCTGCCTCTCTATCATCTATATGTTAATGAGAGAGGGATTCAGTAAAATAATATATATATCTATATCTATCATCTATCAATCTATCTACCTATCTAACATCTATATGTTGATGACAAAGAGTGATTGACTGAAAGAATCACCATCCATCTTCAACAAAATTGCCTGGATCATAGTAAACAACCACAACTCCACTACTTCCTCCATATATTCTGGAACTTTGAATCACATGATCTGTAATAATATAGAAGCACTAGTTTCCAAAAGAATTGAAGAACTAAAGGAAGAAAAAAGGTGAAATCTAAACAATGGTACTCACATCAGTTCAAACCAAATTCCGACACCAAATTTATCTGCGATTTGGACAATCAGTGAATTTTCTGAAGGCAAGCAATCAGCGATTTCTTTAATTGAGTCCTGTGGAGTAGAATGTCACAATACTGTTCCATAAAGAAAGCTTCTCAATAAACTGTATAGCAAGATTATTTGGTAGAAGAAATTATTACATAATATAAATCAGAGTGTGTTAGAACCAATGAATTTCCAGATGATATTAAATGTCTTTGATTTCATCATAACACAATTGATGTTAATAATTATTGTCCAAGCCTAATCCTGTTGTAGCTATATCTTTATTAGTGGTATTGACTGAAGTAAAAAATTCATAAGAGTAAGTTAGTATCATTTAAAGATAACTAGTGACAAAAAACATAAAATACTTCTACTCCCACACATTAAGCGAAATAAAGGAACAAAGATTTCTTTGTTGGCCTAAAGTTCTATTGGTAGTTTTTGTTGTCCTTCTCATTTTCTTTCTAGTCCCCTGGCAACAACTGTCATGATTGGACAAAAGAAAAAGGAAGGACGTCTGGGACAACAGGTGAGGACTCCATTGCTTTGTCTCTAGCTTGTGACTCCCTTAAATTTCTTTCCTTCCTGAACGGTATGAGAAAGTAGGTATTTGTGTACTTACTGAAAAATCACCATGGCTTCATGAAGATTCCCAAGCATACTTAACATGGCATATATGTACACTGCAAATCACAACTCTACACAACATGCTCGTATAAAACAAGATAGACACCGTGCTGAAATTCTTACAAGTGGCACCTACATTTGGATCCTACTCATTGCAATGCTTGTAGGGCATAATTATCTGCTAGTTCAGACTGCTACTATTCTTCCAACCCACCCTCTTCTGAACAGAAGTTAGCCTAAAACAAAGCATACTGGTAAATGGCACAGCAACTCTCTTCAAATGAGTTTTCTTCATATAAAAAAATCAAATAAGATGGTTAGACAGACAGCTGAAAATAGAGATCACCTTCTTACTAAATATAATTGATTTTCATTGTCCTCCAGGTGGGAATATTCCTGAAATGAAATCAATATTTTATTGGTTTGCCTTAAAAGAAAACAGAGATGTTAGCATTCCTTCCTTTTAGGGGCCTTCCTTATTGATGTAAACTATACATGAAACTATTTTAGTTGGAATACAAGAAAATTGGGAGGTTATATATCCAGAGTTTTCATAATTGCTATTGATTCACTCTCCCCATCACAAGTGAACTGTGAGATAGTAAGTTGAAGTTATTTGCTGGGCCTCAGTTTCTCTTCACTTTCTGTATTTGGCATTGACTGAAAGAAATCTTCAACTGGTGCCATGGTAGTGGCTACACTGGCTGTTCCTGTCAATTATTTTCACCTGTTTCTGCTTGTCACGACAACACACACACACACACACACACACACACAAAATAAAATAAAAGCCTGTAATAAGCATCATTAATTTTTATTAGTCCTAATGCAATCATTGCTAGGTTTATTTGAATGTCAGAAATACATAGTATTAATTACTGACAGAAACTTAGAATTACAGAGCAAGGTGACATTACATCCTGAAGTCTTCCTAATACCCTCATCTTCCTGATCCTCAGTACTGCCTCTTCAACGGGCATATTGGCTTCAATTGTGGAGGCCTCAACTTTTTAGTCCTCCTATCTGATCATCTTAAAATATGAGGTTAACAGTCCACTCCAGAATATAACTCTATAGAATCAATAAACTATATATGCACTTTTCTTATCATTGTTTACCCAGTAAAATCTGAGACTGGAATCCCAGGGCTGAGTGGCCTTCTACAAAGTTTCCACTTTTCAATAGCAACATTGACAATTATAGGTTTTTCTCTTCTTCCCTCCAAAAGGCTGAGAACAGACTGTATGTGATGGCAGGCAGAGAATAAAAGGCAGTGACCAAATCACAGCAAGGGCAGCAAAGTTCAGTGCATTCTCTCCCACAAAGGAAATTGAATAGATCAAACTTTGGCTAAGCCTGGCCTAAGTGCTGCTATGAGGCGTCTTCCCAGTCTTCTCTTTAACGCAGAGAATACACGTTCTGAAAGGCTGCCCTGATTGTTCCAAAAGGGCTTTCATTCACATCTCTGATTGGCAGCTTTAGAATGTAAAAGCCATGAGGCTTATCAGCTGGACCCATCCTTTGCAAGAGTTCAACTTCTCATTTGCGACAAGGCAAAGGGAGGGATTTATAATATATCTTGATGGGGCAAGCTGTTGAAATTTTGTCCTGAAAAATAAACATGAGGGAAAGCCACTGCATAATTTCAACTGCAAGCTATTATTGATGTTTTATGCTATTTGAGGAAAAAGAAAGATGACATAATTTGGTAAACCAGCAAAATGAGTAACACCACCAAGCTTTGACATACCTAATTTTTCAATTTCTCTGATCTTTTTCAATACAGAAATCATAATAAATTACATTGCTAGTTTCCTCCCCAAACAGAAATTACCTAACATATATTACTACTTAATTCAACAAATCTTTTCACTAAAATATTTAAAATATTCCGAATATGCAGGAAAAGAATTTTAAAGATGTCATATTGTGTTGCATTTATATGGCAAATACCAATAATTTCACATACAATAAGAAATTCTATTTATGCTAGAATTAAGTTTTCATTCAAACATGATTCTTCCTTTATGGACAAGTTCATGAATTATTCAATATAGCAAATGTCACATTCTCCATAAATCAATTAAGCATCAAAGGCATGTAGTGTATAGTTTTAAGAGAAGAAACCTCATCATAATAAAAGCCACGTTAGCCCACAATCTTTTGTAAACCAAAGAAATACAACGCTAGCCAAAAGACTTTCTAACTTGTTCTACCCTGTGATTTTGAATCAGCTCTTTAGGACTGTGTTTACATGAAACAACAGCTTGAAAATCCATCCTGTCTCTCTTCCACTGAAACAGTATTATTGCCAAAACAATAGAAATTCTTGTTTTTTACCATTCAACACGATAATCCTTGTTCAGTAATTCAGAGCTGAAATCAAACTTCTTTTCCCCAAACACTCAAAGCATCAGTGTTTCGACTGAAGTTTGCTACACCATCCCCCAACCCCCAAACACCAAAATCAAATCTTTCTCAAAGAGACTTACCCCAAGAAAGAGTGTGCTAGATGAGAGAATGTGCTCATGCCTGTAGATAATTAGCTATTAAACATGTAAACGGGCAACTCGCACTTTGGAAGTGCATATTTTTATTCATTAAAGAGAGAAAAAAAAGAAAAAAACAGGGAAAGGTTAGCCCAGCCCAAAGGAGCAGACTCTGGGCTGCCGCGGCTCCTTACTGCAAACCGCTCATTCTGAAAATGTGAGCTTCTTTACATTTATCTCTTTCCCTTTGTTAAGAACTAACCCTCTTGAATGCTGTAGCCCGCATGCCTTTAACAAACAGGACACAAGAAAAGGCCCAAAGTCCTTGCTGGAGCCGAGGGCCGCCGGGGAACTCTTGGGGGTCTCAATAGGAAATGCTTTTCATTGGATAAGGAGGCATTATTAGGAGCCGTGATCCCGCCCAATCCCCTGTGCTTCATAGTTCCCTTAGTCACCAATCGCTGGACTGAAGAAGTTTTTCCTTAAAGAGCATTGCCCAGGAAAAGCAGTTTCACAGTCAAGAATTAGTGGCTTAAGTGCCACTTGACAATATAAAAAGTGTCTTTCCTGAGCAATTAATTCACAGAGAAAGTTTGTGTGCCTGTCTTTACTGCAGGACCGAACGCTACCCTCTTACAATTCTGAGGAGGAGGAGGAGGAGGAGGAGGAGGAGGAGGAGGAGGAGGAGGAAACAAAACTCCAAACTGGGAGGAGCAGCCCGTGTTTGCTTCTACTTGTTTAAAGCAATCACAAAAATATTAGCAAGAATTAAGATGAGAGCAGGGGAAGGGAAAATGCACCGTTATTACACTATGCATAATGAAATTTCTGTAACTCTCTAAAACAAAATGCAATTCAACACTATAGTCACTTACTTAAGCCAGAGAAATGCCCTCAGACTGTCCTGGTGGAGAGGCACTGGGGTTCCAGAGCTTCAACTCTTGCCTTAAAGATCCAGGGAGTGATCTGTAGCAAAGGGAGAGTCATTTCTCTTAAAAACTGCCTGGCAAGAAGTCTAATTGCCATGAAATTTCCAGAGGTTTACTAAAAGGAAAATAAATAGTATAGATGCCATCTGTTGAGAGTGAGCAGTTATCTTCAATTCTATATCCCCACAGCACCCCTAGATGAGCTCTGTATCTTATAGGTGGATGGTCTTGGTCAACAATGCTGCTTTCTCTGACCCCCCAGTTTCTTTCTTTCCATCCCTCTCCCTGATCTGAGTTTGTTGTGGAAACTTAGCCCTTTGTAGCAGTGATTGCTAGCCTTTCCCTACTACCGGCACCCCCCACCATCCTTTCTCCTCTACTTCCACACACTGCCAACATTACCACCAACAGCAACGCCCTACCCTTTCTTAGGAATGAAACCCCTTGGCAGGCATAAGTTTCTTCCTTTTTTCCGGGCAGAACCATGCCCCTGGAGGAATGGGGGAACCTGTGTCTGCTTTATAACTTCAATCCACATAGTTCAGCTGAATCTCTAATGAAATATGCTCCACGATTGTTTATCCTCATTTTCTCTTCAGACCTGGCTTGGGGCTCCCCTTCCTAACCACCTAGGCCTGTAACCAGTCATTGTGAAGTTGACATAACCTTATTACTTGTACCTGACTTGGAAATCACTTTTCTTTATTTCCCCTTCCACAGCCCTGCTTCCTCTTTGCCTATCTCAGGTTAGTTTATTCCTATCTCTTCCTGGCACTGACTATGTCTTCAGAGGTTGTCTTTTTGTTTACTCTGGGCCCAGACCAACCTTTGATAGGCTCATCCAAAAGTTAAGGATGAAGTCACTCTCCTAGAGAACTTCACATTCTAGCTGAAGGAAAAAAGACAGGCAAAGTAGTGAGACGCCTAAGAGATTAAAAAACAAAAAACAAAAAAAAAACCCCTTAAAATAGAGGGAGGATGAGTTCTGCAGTAGGTCAGAGAAGGAAAATAAAACTCCAGAATTAAGGCCAAAGAGCTTCCCAAATAATGTGAGGTTTGAGGATCTTATGGATGACCAGAGCTTAAGAAGCACAAAAAGGAAACGGGATAACTTTGCAGACGGTGAGAAATGATCAAATGTAGAAAATGAGGAACGACAGGAGGTAGGGAGCCTGGCTGTGAAGAGAAAAGAAAGAGAAGAAGAGCCATGTGGGAAATGTTCCATTGTGGCGCTCCCTGGTGCAATAGAGCAATCTAAGCCTCAATCTACAGTGATAGTCACTGTCTCCCTCTCTTGGGATAAATAGTCCTCAGTCTTCCAACTCCTCTACCTGCATTTCTCCCTATGGGATGCAAGTGTCTTTCTGATTAATCTCCCGATGACTTCTTCAAAGGTCTTTTTAACTGATCACATGCCCTCAGAGTATCACTTTTTCTCATTGTTTCTATCTAAACATTGGCTCCAAAGGCTCACTTGTATCTCCTAGAATCATCTCTGATTTCTCTCACCATGGGCATTCCCAATTCTTGTCCCCTCTGACTGGAATACACTCCTCATCCATAATAGGATCTTCAAAACTTTAATTCTCTTTCAGTTGCTTTCCCAGTAATCATGCTTTCATGGAACTCTTCCTTGATCCCTTGTTCAGGCCATATATTCAGTTCTATGCCTGATAGTATTACAGACTTTTTTCACTGTATTTATCACAGACATAATGCCATCAGCTTTATGTGATTTATTTGCATGACACCTTGATACATTGCCGATCTCTGCTACTTTAAACTCCAAGGTTTCATATCTGCTTATTTGAAGATTAACATTCACAGAATTCCCCCTTCCTGACCCTTTGTCTCTTGATCAACTAAGGCATCTGCTTGATTTCTTGAAAAACTTTCCAGCTAAAAATCCATATTATTTCACATATTTTCAGTCTAATCCACATCAAGATGTTGTCTTAAACAAAAAAAGCACACACATTCATAAAGAAAAAGAAAGAGAGAGAGAGAGAGAGAGAGAGAAAGAAAGAAAGAAAGAAAGAAAGAAAGAAAGAAAGAAAGAAAGAAACGTCCTATTGACAAAAAGCTAAAACCTAGATCTACCATCCCCCTTACATACTGCAAACTCTGTAGTCTTGGTTGCTTTGGTATTTGAAAGGCGGGGGGGGGGGGGAGGCTTTTTCAGGAAGTTCTCCAAACAGACCCAGTTTACAGCCACACAACTTAATCCAAAATATCCTTTAAAAACAGGCCTTCATTGAGTTGCTGATGTTTGTGCCACAGGGGGTGGAGGATAAATATGCAGATGAAAAAGTGCTTCCCAGAATGATTTGGGAAGTATATGTACTACATTTAATCTGTTTTGAGAAAAAAATAAAACGGGGAATTCTCACACTTGAATCAAAACAGCCAGATGCTTAGGACCTTCACACTCCAAACCAAAATCAATTTTTCTTTCTGCCAGCAAAATCGAAAGACTGGGTGAGTTCACGCCTCAACACTATGCTAGTTTCCCTAGAAACAGTACAAATAAAACTAAAGGATTTTAACTTTGCCTATGGATTAGAGTTCAACTAACAGTTTGGTAACTTTCAAAATCTATAAAGAAACGTAGTGCTCATACAAAACCCTCAGCAGTGTTCTAGGAAAAGGAAGCCAATTAATTACTAACTTTGCATTAATTAGCTCCACAACTTTTCACAAATACCTTGAAATCTTTCAGAAAACAAAGGCTCCTATAGCCATTGTTCTTTTGTATATAGTCTTCTTTTGTTTCAATGGGCGGAAGGGATCAAGAGGTCAGATTCCCAACCAGTTCATTTAGAACACTGCATCTCTGAAAGAACAGGAAAAAGTTTTTCATGCATAGTCTCTGGAAGATTATATATATATATATATATATATATATATATATATATATACTCATCTTTCATACTAGGTCACCTTCATCTTTCAGCTGTTTCTCAAACAGATAGACTTTTCTTCTCCGTAACTGAATATCATTAGTAATTCCCAATGATAGCCAGGTGCTGGTGGCCTTTAATCTCAGCACTCCAGAGGCAGAAACAGGCAGATCTCTGTGAGTTTGAAGCCAGCCTAGTACAAGAGCTAGTTCTAGTACAGGCTCCAAAACTACAGAGAAACCCTGTTTCGGGGGGAAAAAATAATTCCCAATACTTAGAGGCAAGGTTGGTAGATAAGGAAAATGAGATTCTGAATTAACTTAAGCAAAAAGCCTGGCAATCTTGAATGCCTGGTAGAGTCTAGAAAAATTTAAACATAATAATAATCATATGATGAAAATAGAAAACATTTTCAGGCAATATTTTAAGAATTGTATAGATATTCTGTTCCCTACTGTGAACAATACTCCTATTTTATACCTGAGAAAATATGGCACAGAGAGCTCAGGTAACTTGCCAAGACTCACGCAGCTACTAATTTGTCTTTGAATTCTGATCAATTTTACCAAATCATCATAATCACATTTTCCTTTGATAAAGCATTCAGATCTCTCCCCGAATGATCTTGTTCAGATCTAATACCAGGAATCTACCCTGTGTGATGCAAACTGCTCACTAGAAAGTGAGAAATCTCACTAACAGAATGTGTAGCTGAAGAGCTTTTCAAAGGTGCTAAAAATAAAAATAAGACCCTTCAGAATTTGTTATGAGAGCAAAAATCACTGACTTCTTTTAAACCCAATTGTAAGTTTTTTTATTTTTATTGATTAAATTTGTTCTTTGATCATTTCCCACACGTACATAATACACACCAACACTGTCACCGCCCATTTTCTCTCCCCTCCCTACTCCTTTATCTAGCTTCTTTACAGAGCCCTTTCACATGTTCATGTCTATTTGTTTGGTTTTGAATTGTACTGGCTTTAACCAGGGCCCTATGTGTGACTATGGATTTGGAGGTATCTGTTGGAGGCTGGCAGACTCAGTGGTGGGTACACAAATCATAACAATCTCCCTGAAACTACCCACAGTCAACAGTTCAATTTTAAAAGTGTGGGGGTGCTGCAAGGCACTCCCATCTCCATGGTCGACTGTTGACAAAGACTACCTTGTGTGTACCAATAAAGGTAACTGCAGTTGTTGTGAGTTTACAATTACAATGACTGTGTTGAGTCTAGAGGACAGCATTTTGCAGCCCTTCACCTTCTCTACTGGCTCCTGAACACTTCTGCTTCTTTTTCCATGGTCTCTGAGATGTAGAGAGGGTGATGTAAATGTCTTATTTACAGTTAAAACAACAACAATCATTTCTTCTCAGCATCTTGGGCAGCCATGATTCATGGCATTCACTGCCATTCAATATAAAAATGGTCTTCTCTGATTAGGTCTGAGAGTAGCCTTTGTCTTTGACTATAAACATACAGATATGGAAGGCCGTCCGATGCTGTTTCAATTTAGTTAA